TCAATTTTTTTATTATTTTTTTTTCATTTGTCAAAAAAACTGGATCACAAAAGGGCCTTACCTCTAAGAATGAATAAAATTTTCAAACTTTACCCCAGTGTGAGGGTGATTCTTGGTTAAGGTTCCTAAAAAAAAATTTTTAAAAGGCTCAAATAGGGTAGCGAGGGATTTTTTTCTTTTGAAAGATAGAAGAAAGATGGCCATTTCTCATTTCAAACATGAATACTCTCAATGAAGATAATTCATTGATTAAGAACAAATTTGTGAGTGAATAACCACAAAGATCATGTGTTGCATCATTTTCACCTTTCAACAAGCTAAACTTTTACCAAAGTTTTTTTTTAGCAGTCCTAATAAATCGATGATCTCAAATTTATTAATCAAACCATCATGAATGATGTTTTCAAAATCGAATCTTGAATTGTAATCATAATTGTCCGAACATTTATTATTCGAAGTCAAAAAAATAGGTAGAGAAAAAATGGTATGAGATGGTAAAGTAAATGATGGGTAATCACACAAAAGAAGAATGTCATGAAAATGCATCATATCTATCACTTTTATTAAAATGATAAAAAATAAAATGAAATTCAAACACATAAAAAATCTATATTCTCAAGAAATCCTAAAATGATAATCAGTTTCAATCAGCCTTCCCAAAATCATGCCCCTAGATGATTAGGCAAAGAGTCTTCGTGGATATTTAACTCTCTTGATTCATTGAAGCTTATTAAGCCTGCTTGAATCAAACTTTACATCTTATGCTTGAAAGTAAGGTAATTTTCTATGGAGTGACCTACATTCCCATTATGATAGTCACATGTGGCATTAACATTTTACCATTTGGGATATGGGTGGCTTCAATAGTTTCAAAAAAACTGAGGATACTAGGTCAGTTTTTGACCAATTTTGAAAATAGCTCAATATAAGTTATTGGAATAGGATTAATGCGAGCCCTCTCTTGATTACCCTTAGATCTTTTCAAACCATTCGCTTGATTGTTAGGCTTTGGAAATGGTGTAGTAATAGGATTAGGCCCATCTGAAGGTGCTTGAAAAATTGGTTGATAAGGATTTAAAGTGATGTTGTTCATGGTTAGGAAATAAGGCTGGTAGGAAACTTGTGCAATATTATTGGTTATAGGGTAATAAGCAGGATGAACATATAGTGGATATGGGGTATAACTTCTAGATTGTTGCCCCTAAAACTCACCACTTGGGTTTCATTTTCTTCTTCCTTAGGCATCTTACCTTTCTTGGCACTGCCAGTCTTTTCCTCTTCAAGCTTGCCACTCTTGATGGCATTTTCAATAATCTCTCTTGAGATCACTATATCAACAAAGTTCTTTATTGCGTTCCCTTTTATCTTTTCATAATAGGGTGACTTTAAAGTACTTATAAATAGCACTGTTGTTTCTTTCTCTATTAGGGGAGGCTGGACCTGACCGACAACATCTCGCCATCTTTAAAAATATTCTTTGAAAGACTTAGATGCTTTTTTTTCCATACCTTGTAATGAAAGACAATCATGAGCCATGTCTATGATGTGACGGTATTGGTTGATGAAGGATCAAGTCAAATCTTTTTATGACTTAATGTGAGTCATATTCAACTGGACATACCACCTTATAACAGACCCGATTAAGCTATCTTGAAATACATGTATTAGCAGTTTTTCATTGCTGGCATGTGTTGCCATCTTACGACAATATATTATGATATGCATAATAGGGCACTTGGTACCGTTATATTTTTTAAATTTTGGTACCTTGAATTTTAGAGAAATCACAACATCTGAAATTGGGCAAAGGTTGGCAACTTCCATGGATCCATAAAAATCAATGCCCTCTATAACCCGTAATATTTCTTCAATCATACTTATGGTTTGATCGATCTTAAAATTTTCTGGGGGTACAACCGTCTGTAGGTTTTCTTTCTTTTTAGTCTCATCCATTTTGGGAATTTGGATTGGCTTATCTATTTTTCAATGAAGACAAGATTGGTACAGCTTTGAACATTTCCTTGATTGAAATTTGGGAACGTGGTCTATTGATAAAAGCTTAGAGTGCTCTGAGTTTGATATGGATCGAAACCTGAAGGATATAATGGCTCAATATCTTCATGTAAGATGTCTTTTTCTGCTACCTTTCCTTTATTTTCTTTTTCTAGAGCCTCCAAGGATTTTGCTTAATTTTTTTTCAAGTATCTCTTAAGCCTTTTCTATTCTTTCAAGCCAGTCTATATTGTCTTGCTTCATTTTTGGCTCAGCTCTAGTGTAATACTGGTATTGATCTATCCTTGAACCTTGATTTCCTATAATTATGGTACAAATTTAGAATGATGTTTATGAATTTATCAAATTATGCATGAGAATGAATGCAATGATGCATGAATGCATGCATACATAAAAAAGAGTTAGTAAGCATAATATGTAATCTACATGTATGTTTATGGATATGCATAAAAAGAAAAGAAATAAAAAAAGACAAGAGAATCGGTTAGTTATCTCAAATAAAAAAAAAAAAGAATAAACACTACAAAGCAAGTAAAATAACATTATGACCATAGATTTGGGTTAACTATAAAGAGTGGAAAGACATGGATCTATCTATGGTTGGGCTCTTAAAGTTAACTATTTGGGTTAATTCTAAAAGGTTTCCAAATTGTTCCTTACATCATGGTCCATCATAGACTAGTAAAGCACCATAATCCTTATCTATCATAGGCTTCAAGCGGAAAAGGGTTTAATCTGAGTGGGAGTATTTTGTAGGCCCATCCAAAGATATGAAATCTCAAGAGGGCATAGGTACTTCACTTCTTCCTAGGGGTGTGCCCGGGTAAAGGGTTTATGTTATGCACATGCAAATAAATGACAGATATATACAATAAATAGATAATTAGGCAAACATAAGCAATGAAAAATAAGCAGGTATACACAATGAAAGGGAAAATAAATAATAAAGCAGATATAAACAATAAAAGGAAATAAAATAATTTCAAACTTATTAAGCAAGGCTTGGATAATAAGAAATTATTTATTGGCTTGACTTTTAATGTTCCCAGTGGAGTCGCCAAACTATCATATATATAGATCCGTGGACCTACCACTAGATATGGATGAAAGAGAGTCCCCACCAATCTTTTTTGGTTAGGTGTGATTGGTCACCTGATTGAAGCTGATCTGTAAAACAAAGGTTAGGTTCTAAAGTCGGTTGTGCATGGAAAAGGTTATAGCATCCTCACAACGCCCATCCCAAGGATGGTACCAGTTTGATTTCGAATTATCCAAACCTTGATCATTTTTATGATTTACCAAATAATTTAACATTGAATTATTAATTTTATTACATAAAGAAAACAATAAAACCTCAAAATTTTTTATATTTTTATATTTTTTATTATTTTGACAACATTATTTACAAAGTTTTTTTTTATATTTTTCCTTTTTGAAAAAAAGATATATTTTTTATTTTTTTCTTTGTTTTTAGGAATATTAGTGGTAGAAATATTTTGTTTTGCTTTTTTTTTAAAAATAAAACCAAAAAATAATAAAAATAGGTTTAAAATAAAATAAAATAAAATAAAATCAAAAAATAAAAATAAAATAAAAAAGAAAAAACTTGCGATCGGGTCTGGTCGGAGCGCGGGTTAACACGCAAGTCATCAGGTTTGTGTGCGGATCATAGCTTACCCAAAACGGTGTCATTTTGGAGCAGTATAAAAGGTACCTTTCACGTTTTTCCTTAAAAATCTCAAAGCCTTTCTCTCTCTAGCCAAAAAACCTCTGCCCTCTTTTTAAAATGTTCCACCAAAAACTTCAACTACGACTGAAAAATCCATCAATTTCTGGAAGAATTGCCAAAAAAATCAACCGAAAACTGAAAAACCATCGATTTATGAAAAATTGGTCGAAATGTGATAAAAAAATTTAACTGGTCGTCAGAAACTTTATCAAAAAATTTATACTTCGTCGAAAAATTCAACCAAATCCAAAAAAATTGAAAAAAAATCCAGAAAACCTCATAATCAATTCTAAATCCTCATTGAACTTTCTACAACCTCAAATTCACCTTTAAAAACCCACAATTACACCCAGAACCACAAATTAAACCTTAAAATCCCAAGATCAAATTTCAGAACCTTTTTTGTTTAAAATTTCTTAGACCTTCTTTCAATAATTTTCTCTTTGTTTTTATGTGTTCTTGTTTGTTAGAATCAATCCAATTTATAGACAACTTTTAGGAGTAATTTTAGGAATAGAACAGAATCAATCATAAACTTGAATTCTGGGATTGCATTCTATCCAGTATGATTTTTGATCCAAAATTTCAGCAATCTCCTGTTGATACAATTTGGCACTAAAGGTTTGACCCAACAGGATTTTGATTTCGATTTTATTTATGCTCACGTGTGAATTAGAACAGAAAAGGAAAGAAGGAAAAAAAGAAGAAAAAAATGAAAATAAAATAATAATAATAATAATAATAATAATAATAATAATAATGATACTAATACTATACTATAATATATACAAAAAGAAAAGGAAAGTAAAATATAAATAAAAAAATGTAAAAAAAATCGATCCAATCAAACTTGGACACAGACGGACCTAATCGGGCTTGTACTTTAAATATAATTCGATTCAACCCCAAACGAGCTCAGACGCAGATGGACTCGAATGGGCCCAAACATAAATGGACTTGAACGAATATGAACATGAATAAATGTCTACACTTATAATTATTTTTAATTAATAAATATTATTTAATAAATTTAAAATTTAAATACCACCACTTATAATCTTTTATTTTTACTTCGTATTAGAACTTTTTTTGCACGTTATTAGAACTTTTTTTGCACGTTACATCTATATATAAATATATATTTTATATATAAGATAAATAATAAGTTGTTGCGCAAACGATTAAATTTCAATCGCATATTCATGGCATTTGTTTATACGATAAAGAAATGTACTTAAAATAAAAAAGGAAAAAATGTATAAAATATCTTTTCCCCAAGGGAAATTTGGGGGTTTGGTTTCATTATTGACAACGACATACCGAGTAAATAAATAAGACGTTCAAGCCCTCCTCCCATGGAACACTCCCCACAAGTTGAAAGGAAAAAAAAGAACCATGGGAAGGCACATTTCCTTGTTTATCCTCCCTCTATTCCTATTCTTTCCCACCATCATTCAACATGCTAAGCCAGCCATGTCTCTCCCTCTCTCGACGAACTTGCGTTGGATCGTCGACGAGAAAGGGCAGCGGGTGAAGTTAGCTTGCGTGAACTGGGTCTCACACCTTGAACCAGTGGTTGCAGAAGGGCTTAGCAAGCAGCCTATGGGTATGATCGCCAAACGGATTGTGTCGATGGGGTTTAATTGCGTTAGGTTCACCTGGCCACTTTTTCTGGTCACCAATGACTCGTTGGCCTCTCTCACTGTTAGACAATCTTTTCAAAGTCTTGGTCTGCTTGAATCTATCGCTGGAATTCAGGCCAACAACCCCTCCATCATCGATGTTTCCCTCATAAAAGCTTACCAGGTACGAAAGTTTCTGCCCTTGTTCTCCGCCCAACCCCCTCCCCCGCAGATAGATTAGATTGCCACATCCGACCAGGAAAGAAGGATAAGGACAAATATGAAAAGAGGAAAACTGGGAAAGGTGAAACCTTTTTGGAGACCCCACTCTTAAACAAACTCAAACATTAAAAATACGTGTTTCTTTACGGCATTGGCTAAGGACTTATAAGGTTATCCAAAAACCAACAAATTGATGACAATTGCCTTAAATTTTCACCGACGCTGTTTTTTTTTTTTTTAATATTTAAATCTTCAATTTATCATGTATGGTACGGCCCACATGTAGAAGCTTATTAATTATTTATTATCATATAGTTTAGACTTCCGAGGGAAAGGTTTAGTCAAAAAACGACGATAATTACAAAGTTGTTGTAGGAAATGATGGCAACGACAATTAGATTATTAGCCTTAGCCACAATATTTATGCTGCATGATTTAAATATCAATTTTTCTTTGACAAACCGGTAGTCATTTCCTTTCTTCTGTATTAATAAAAACAGTATTTGATGTTGAAATGCCTGGATCAAGTGATTTTTGCTTTATTTTGAGTTTCTTATCCGAGGAATTCAATTTCAGGCAGTGGTATCTAGCCTTGGGGAAAACAATGTAATGGTCATACTTGACAATCACATAAGCACGCCCGGTTGGTGCTGCAGTAGTTTTGACGGCAATGGTTTCTTCGGTGACCAGTACTTCAATCCTGATCTATGGATCACAGGCCTGACTCGGATGGCCACCCTATTCAATGGTGTCACCAATGTGGTCGGCATGAGCTTGAGAAACGAGCTTAGAGGCCCCAATCAGAATGTATCTGATTGGTACAGGTAAAGGTTCCGTTCTAGCAAAATAGAACTGAAAAATGTTTAAAACAAAAAGGGTTAAAAAAATTGGAAAACTTATTACAGTTATGTTGATGATTGAGTTAGGTACATGCAGAAAGGAGCTGAAGCAGTGCACTCAGCCAACCCAGATGTTCTTGTTATACTTTCTGGATTGAGTTATGACAAGGACTTGTCATTTATCAGAAATCAACCAGCAAATCTCACGTTTAGTGGGAAACTAGTATTTGAAGTGCATTGGTATGGTTTTTCAGATGGGCAGGCATGGGTAGCTGGCAACTCAAACCAGGTATGTGGCAGGGTGGCAAATGACATGATGAGGACATCAGGGTTTTTGGTGGATCAAGGCTATCCATTGTTCGCGAGCGAGTTTGGGGTAGACCTAAGAGGAACCAATGTCAATGACAATAGATACTTGGACTGCTTCTTAGGTGTTGCAGCTGAACTTGACCTGGATTGGGCATTGTGGACACTGGTTGGGAGTTATTATCTGAGAGAAGGGGTCCTTGGGTTTAACGAGTACTATGGAATCTTGGATTGGAATTGGTGTGATACCAGGAATTCAAGCTTACTAGAGAGAATTTCTGCTCTCCAGTCTCCTTTCCGAGGTAAGCAAACTTTATTTTCCCTTCTTCTAGTTCATGCAGTGTCCCCGAACCCAGTATTTATTGCTTCAACAATGGCATGCAGGGCCGGGCCTATCAGAAACCAAACTGCATAAAGTGATCTTCCATCCCTCAACGGGGCTTTGTGTCCTAAGGAAATCATTGCTTGACCCATTGCGCTTGGGTTCCTGTACTGACTCTGAAGCTTGGAGATACTTACCCCAGAAGACGTTGTTAGTAATGGGAACTTATTTCTGCTTACAAGCTGATGAATCAGGGACGCTGGCAAAACTTGGTATCATCTGCAGCGAGTCTAATTCAAAATGGGAAATGATAGCCGATTCCAAGATGCACCTGTCATCTAAGCTCAGAAATGGCACATCCGTTTGCCTGGATGTGGATTTGGACAACACTATTGTTACAAACAGTTGCAAATGCTTAAATGAAGATAATACGTGTGACCCCAGGAGCCAGTGGTTCAAACTTGTGGACAGCACAAGGAGCAGAAGTGGGGGGAAAGCTTCCTTAAATTTTGACTCGATCCTTGACTTACCTGGAAAGGAGTTCTTCTGGAACCTTTTGGGTGCCTCGATATAAAAGATTTTTTCAGCAAAGCAAATAGGCAAGGGGTTACAATTAAACATTCCAAGCAAGTTTAGTCCAAAGCCAGAGATATATATGCAACTAACCCTATGCTACAGGACATGTTCTGTGGTCCAAACACCAAAGGCACATCGATTTACTAGGCCTCGCATAGACTGTTGAAACTGTAGGAATTGTTTCAACATGCTGTTCCACTGTTCAACCAGACTGAAGAAATTATGTTGGTCATGCAAAATTCAGTTCATGTGATCAACAAAACAATTGCAACCATGCTTGTGTTTCCTTTGGTAGAGAGTAAATTGAAGCTGAAAGACACAACAAAAACTTGGGTGCAATTTTGTTCTCAAAATAGTTATTCCATTTGCTAAGAGCCAAACCAATGTCCTCGGTTTCAATACTTTTTATCATGCATGTGAATGAAACTACTATACTGTTGGAATCCTAAACAAACATATGATGAATGAACAACAATGAGATTATGAGCCAGCATATTTGAATCACCAAATGTAGATCAGTGCTTTATTTATTCTTCCATTGCATCTCCATATTCAATTACTTCTACTCTTTTCCTTAATGGTGTAATCTTTGTCAATAGAGCCTCTGCACCATGTATTGTGGCATCAGGTTATTGTCAACAATTCAACAAGGATGCATTAACTTGTATGCCAAAAATTAGTAACACTGAATGTAGCCGTTGCTTTAGAATATCTCTATTAGAGAAGCTAAGGACACAAATAATAATTAGAGAGCAATAGACAACTGATCCCGAGATGACATGCTTACCAGTCTTCTTAGGAAATGGAAATCCTTCAAACCGATATCCTCATGCTGATTTGGGACTTGATAATTTCTTAGGTATTCCTTGTGTCCCTATACAAGCATCATAAATAAATTAGAAAACTAAAAGGGAGAAGCCAAAAAGAAAAGATGTCAACCGAATAAAAAATTTTTACTCTATCAGAATGCAGTGACCCTTTTTGTTATAACACAAACATTAATGTTAATCCCACTGCCCAAATCATTGAAAATGGCAGCACAAATGGCCTCTCATACCAAATTTATTCCTTCTTTCTGCACAAACAAATTATTATAACATATTAATGCATCAAAGGTAAGATGCTCCAAATATCTTGATTAAAGACTAGAATTACATTCTACAGCTATCCTGAACAGCAGTTTTGAAAAACATACCTTTTTTGCTTAGAAAAAATGAAGTAAATACTTTACTGATCAAACCCAGAGCAATTTTATGAATTGAAATGAATTTCAGCACAACTTCATGTCAAGTAGCACAAGAACTTACAGTTAGTCCTTCGCGGTATTTTAACTCCAAAACTGCCATAGCAGCAAGTAATCCAGAACACATAGTTGCAAATGGCAGAGTGTACATAGTTCCATTTGGATAGATATGTATGAACACAGGTAAATGCAAAGAAAATGGAATCAGAGCAATCATAAAAATAGGAAAAATATTAGATTCTCACGTGTATAACTCAGCTCATCATATGTAGATGTGGCCCAGTCACATCCACTCCAGCGAGCACCAAAGCAGCTTGAACATATTCTTGGTAGCTAGACAGCAGGACAAGTAAAAACCGGTAAGACCTTGTTTAATCACAATCTACTAATAACGAAAAGATCTAACTATACCAAGGATCACCCTCTCAGATATAGACTTACTTGAATAGAATAGATTTTAACAGAGCCAGGGCTGTTAGGACCCTGAATTTTCGACTAGTATGATACAATGTAGCCACAGTTGGGAGCAGACCATGTCTTTATAAAGCCCAATGTAATCCTCACATATAGCACTTCACAATAAACCGAAAAAATTAGGAAAATAAAAAGAGGCCAAAAAGAAACGCAGGAATATTGGTAAAAATATTTTATATACCAGTCACTGCCTCTGTATCAGAAGCAGTTCCAGCTCCACAGATATGAATGTTCGCTGCCATATAAAGAATTTTCTCACAATTCTTATCACAAACAATGAGTCCTGCAGTGGCTCTTGTATCTGCTCTGAGAGTGACACCTTCCTGGTACAAAAGAATAATAGTAGCTCATAAGCATCCCATCTTCACAAAAAGATTAATGGTTGAAGTAAGAGAATTGAACATTTGAGAAACACAGATTGATTGTTCAGAATCCAACAATTGAAAATCAAAGCCACATAATAATAGCTCTTCTAACACTACATGGAAGCAGCATTAAAGTTAACAGTGCTAAGGAATCACATTCCCAGAATACTAATGCTATACCTAAGCAAAAGAGTTGTTAGCAATTACATTATCATAAGTAGACAGCGGAGCAAATTGATAAGAAAGATGGAAGATTACACCCTTTTTTGAAAGGATTTGCATTTCTTGTACACAATTCGAAGCTGTAACCGCCTTTTGCAGGAAGCTCCACAACTGCCTTTTGACATTTTTTGTAGTTTTATTTAAAAACAAAAGAAAAAAAATACAGATTGCATATATTTAATCAAGTTTTTGAAACTAAACATTGAATTTTATAAGGCAACAAAATTTCAATTATAAAGGTTTTTTTTTTTAAAAAAGATTTTTATTTAATGACACCTCCAAGAATTACATAACAGAGTCTTTGAAGTGAAATTGAATAAGAGCAAAATTCTTGCTAAAAATTAAATAATCCTAGAGAGAAATTTGTGGAAACCCTAAATTTCTTATCATCGACCGTTCAGAGAAATAATCACGGCCTAGCTCCGTTTGGTTACCCGGAAAATGAAGGAAACGACAGAGAAAAATGCTCTCCGAGCATTTGATTAAAGATGAAATGAATCTACTTGGCGTTTTTTTCCCCAAAAAATGTACTTAGTTCAAGTTGCGCTTTTTCCACATTCAGAAGTACTTTAAAATTTATATACAAAAAAAGTTCTTTAAAAATTAAATTATAAATAATATTACGACGTATTTGGTACAGAAGATCATAGGGTATTATAAGATAAAATTATAATAAAATAAAGTTAAATTAAATTATTTTATTTTATTTTATATTTGATTTGTGTAAGAATTAATATAAAATAATTTATTTATTAATCAAAATTATTTTTTAAAAATTAATTTAATTTAAATTATTAATATAATTTTTAAGAATATAATAATAAATTTAAATTTAATTTTATGAATTGAAAATAATATCTTTATTTTAGGTAATTAAATTATCTTTTATTAAAAAAGTAATTAATTATCTTTATAATTATATATATATTTTAAATATAAATTAATTATTATTTTATTTTATTTATCATTTTATATAATATACATTATCTAATAGTACGTCATTAACTTATATAAAAAACAAGAGTTATGGCTCGGGTTTTTTTTTTTTAAAAAGTGTTTAGATATAATAATATTACAGAATATATTTGACCATATCAATTGTAACAATAATTTCCAAAAAGCAAGAGGAACTTTTATCCTTCACATGATCTCTTCACATACAAGAATTTTCATTCACCTTACATGAAAATTAATATCTATGATCTGTAACGCAAAAAAAAAAAAAAAAAACCCCTCTGCTTAGTACCAAAGAAGGAAAAAGAAGGCTTCCGTAATTTTAATAAAATATTGGGTCCCTACTGTTGTTCAAAGTTAAAAGATTGATCTCCATCACTGTTTTTCCTTTCCCTAGCAAGAAGCTTTAATCCCCACCTCCTTTGTCTTTGATTAATTCAAAGCATCCATTTCAACGAGCAAGAACATTTAATAAGGAAAGCAACATCACGGTACTCCAATTCTTTCTGTGTTGCAGCCTTTTCTTCTTTGCTCTGTCTGATTAACAAACTATTAAGAACGTTTAATAGACTTTGGGGTTGGACTTTTAACTACGGTTAACATGAATTACTTTTGGATCTCATAATTTTATAATACGAAAACATGTGAGACAAAAGTGAGGAAATTTAAAATTTTATAAAAATTATATGAATTTTATTAAAACAAAAAAATTTATTTTTTAGTAGATACAGACAAATTATAACAAATAATTTTTTATTTTATTTAGACAAAGAAGTATAAAACATGAATACATAAATTGTTTGTTTTACTTGTCTCTTGAGAAACCAGGACAGTCAGAAAATGCTTTCGAATCTGCTTTGAATTGGATTTGGTTCCACACATAAAATTCTTTAAGTAAGAACCTCTTCTTTATTTATTTCAACAGTTTAAGAGAGGAAACAAGATCGCAGTCCCATCACCATATGTTAAAAGCTTGCAGCCAGACTCATAAACTAACGAGAAACACCTTGATTATATGTACAACTGCAATTTGGGCAAGCAAAGTATGTTTATCCCATGGTTTTTTCTTCAGAAACTAAAACAACAAGCTTATATAACATCTCATTTGAACTGATGCATCCTTTTGCAATTGATTCACCATCACTTAAGTCATGACCTCAGTTGAAAGTGGTAGATTTTGGCAACGTTCCAAATCTTATTTAGATGATGAAATCCTGATAAAGAAGCTCCTCCTTAGCCATGATCCTGATGGCCGTCGCCTTGATTCTGAGATGCTACTTGTTGCAGTGGAGAACATCATGTTTTATGCTACTGCATCAAGTACTAGTAACTCCCTACCTGGTTACATTGTTACTCTGAATTTAGATATGGCGAGCTTGAATGCATATGGTTTGACTCACAATGTATCAATTTAAGTTTTATGATATATAATTTTTTATTTGTCCTTATTTTGCTTACTCTGTCCTTATTCTGGATAATCACTGGAAATAGGAAATAGTTTTTGATTGGTTTTGTAATCTTTACAGATTTTATTTTTCTATTGTAAGCTAAATTGTGAAATTTCATTGCATTGTTATTGTCCTTTGGTATAAGGAATTCAAATATGTTTTTAATGAACTTGATGTTGTATTTCCAACACAGGTTTCTGATAAACCTATTGATGCAAATTTGAAGAGTCACATTAGCAACATTGAACTGACTGGATTACAAGAACCACTAGTGCATACCATCTATAAAATTGCGCATGAGGTAATTCTCTCTTTTTCTTTATCCCCTTTAATTTAAAAATGTCTTGATTGTGTTTTTAATGTGATTGCAGATGCTTTGCAAGTGCCCTGTAAGGGAGATCTTCATACTAGAACAATGGTCTGGTTTGATTTGCTGGGAAATTATAGATGGGATGCAAAGGCAGCATTAGCAGTTGCAGCTTTTGCAACAAGCTATGGTGAATTTTGTCTCATAATGCAGTTACGCCCTCATATCCCCTTGGCAGTATCAGTTGCCAATTTTAAACATCTTCCTAGTAACATTAGCATGTTGAAGCCTCGATTGAAGGCCTTAAAATTGCTTTTTAAGACGATGTTGGCTTTGACGAAATGCATCATCGAATTTGAAGGTCTGCCAGT